CCGGGCCCTCACATAGATATTGAGAATTTTTAAATGTCATAATATTTACAGGAATTAGAGTTATTCGAATCATGTTTATATCATTTACTGTTATCCCTTATTTTCGGGCGTTCGCGCAACTCGAGAAGGTCGCTGTACATTTTCGTTTGGCACAGATTGAACATTGGTTTTTATGACTGTGACGGTGTGATTTGACTTTAACGTATTCAAGTTGATATAATGAATTCTACTACTTTTTGTAAATCGTTTAAAAATTTCGTTGACGTTTAAGTTGTAAAAAACTCAAACTCAGTTATTATATTACACGATATGAACAATAGTAACTTAACTACAATCAGTATGGTCTAGAGAGGTCATACACTTTTTCACCAGTGGTCTCTGGAGATATCGTAACGTACACAGACGTACACATGTCGTACACTTTTGACTGTTACAAGACGCTACTGTTTGCTTACCACGGATGGGTTAAAAGTTATTGCAGGTCTCTTCCTGGATGGTCCTGGAGTTCAAATTGGTCCATTTTCTTTGTTACTTTTTCAATGTCAATAAATATAAGCGATATCCCTGTCTTAGAAATAAATTCTCAATCCACGATCTTAACACATGCTTATGATCTGAGTGTATGAATATTTTACGTCGTAAAGGGTTGTTACACACACTTTCTCAAAAGCAATCAGTTTTTGGTGGCATCACATTACCTACGAAACAGCAAACAAATGTAATTTTGATACATTCCATTCCACTGTGACTCTATATCAGATGCGGTTGGCACGTGACTTACTGATTTGCATATTTAAAATCATTTTAATATAAGGTACTCAACCCTCTGCCTTTGTAATAGATCTTCACAAAACTTATGAATATAGCATTTTTCACTTCCATTTTGTGGTTCAGCAGTAAACCTGTGGGTTTCGATACCCGCGCTGGGTAGAGCACAGATAGTCCTTTGTGTAGCTTCGCGCTTAGCAACAAACAAATAAACATTTTCAATTTAATTATTTTAGAACCTGTGATTGCACGATTTTATAATTTACCTGTTTATTTAGGTTCAGTTCGTTTAAGTGCAAAGATAAACAATGGGATATCTGCGTTTTGTCCACTACAGGGAAACGAACCCCGGGATTAAGCGTTTTAAGTCTATAAACTTAAAGCTTGCCCAACCGGGGGAGTCTAGATTTAGAATTTGAACAGATTATTCAAAACTGTAATTAGGTTCCCGATGTCTAAGAATTAATAATATGATAGTTAGGTCTTAATACGTTATACACACATATCTCTCGAGTTTAGTAATTGTCCTCTTTTTAATGTTTCATTCAATCTGTAATAATTGGAAATTAAAACAATCTTAATCCTTTTATATATAATATCTAAGATTTGTGGAAATAATAATTTAAAAAAAAATGAAACGTTCATGTTTTTTCTTCCGTGTTCTCACGTGAACAGAGCTTCGTCAACTTGGATAATTCAGTCGTTAGGCTACAGTTACATTTAACTTGCTTACTTTCATAGTCAAGACATATGTCGACTGCTTGGTCACATGGTTGTTCTGGAGAATAAGAATGTGTGGTCAAACCGAATTTTTTATTTGTTATGAATTTAGCGCAAAGCTACACGAGGGCTATCTGCGGTAGCCGTCCCTAATTTAGCAGTGAAAGACTAGAGGGAAGGCAGCTAGTCATCACCACCCACCGCCAACTGTTGGACTACTCTTTTTACCAACGAATAGTGGAATTGACCATCACATGATAACGCTCCCACGGTTGAAAGGGCGAGCATGCTTGGTGGGACAGGGATTCGAACCCGTGACTCTCAGATTGCGAGTCAAACCGGATTTTAGTGATTTAAATCCAAAAATGTTTTATGCTGACACACCGGGGGGGGGGGGGTAGGTATTACCTGAAATTACTATAAAATTGTTTCACCATCTTTCGTAGGACAGAGGTAAGCCTACGGATTTACAACGCTAAAATCAGGGGTTCGATTCTCCTCAGTAGACACAGCAGATAGCCCAATGTGGCTTTGCTGTAAAACAAATACACACATATTCATCTTTGTAAGTAAGTCCCTGTAAAGGTAGTTTTGGAAGCGACAGAATTTTAATAACGGAAGACATTAACTCCATAATGGAAAACA